GTGTTAAAACAATTTATATGAAGAGATATGAATAGAAACATTATACGAGAAACAACTCTATTGTTCATTACAATGTTCTATAAAGATATATATGATCAGAAGTTGAGTAGCATCTCATAGTGTTCTTCTTCATCTTCTTGTTGAGAAAGCTAAGAGCAACAACTCCTTGCTTCTTCTGAGATCTACCAAGATGTATGTGATTGAAAGTTAAATAACATATTGCAGTCTTCTTATTCTTTGAGCAAGCTACGAGCAATAAATTCTTGCTTCTTCTGTTTCGTCCAAGATGCATATGATGTTAGTTGAATGGAATCTTATAGAAATCTTCTTTCAATCTTTTATCTCTTCTATAATGGTCTTCAGGATGTATAGCATTGCAGCTTTACATCTTCATCATCCATTTCTTTCCTTTCACAGGATGAAGCTTGATGGCCAATGGCAAACGGCAACGGCTACCAGCTTCTAGCACTTTATCTTTGAATCTTTTATCTTCTTTTATAGCCTTTGACAGAGAGAGACATTGTGAGGATAAAAAGGACTTTTCCTGCACCAATGGTTAGTTCCAAACTGATAGATTAAGGTGTAAGAATTTAGACAGTATAAAATAATATTTATGTATCCTGTCAATGTTCAATGATAGCTTTCCACCTTTTCTCTGAATAATCTTTTTCTATTAAGCTTGTAAACAGAGATTTGTTAAGTAAAGAAAGATAGTGGTAAATCAAGTTGTTTTGTTCCCAACAGTCACAATGAGAGTGGTTGGCAATATAGTATAAAGGATTGTCCTTACACCACCCTAAAGGGTAGAGGTCACAAACACTTTATGTACCTTTTGCACAATGTCACACGTTAACCATTTAAACTTTTCTTCTTATCTTTAGAGGCTTCAGATATTTTAATGTTGAACGTTAAAGCTTGTTGTAGAAGAATCTTTCTTAAGCCTTAGAACCTAAGTCTCGGAGTCTTCAGAACTTTTCACACAACACCTTGTCTTCAGAGTCTTCAGCACTTGGTTGTAAGAACTTGTTTTTCTTCAGATCATCAGAACTTGTTCAGCAGAACCTCATCTTCATAATATTCAGAACTTGTAACACAAAAGTAAAGCTTTAGAAGGCCTCTAAATCTTAACCATAAAGTCACGATCATAACTTCTTGTACTAACATTCCTAAGACACATTGCACAAAAACAGTTCAGAATATTGACTTCAATAAAACATGTAACCATATGTTTTCTTCTAGAGTGTATGTTCAGAACCTGATGATGCCACACGCCTTGTACTAGAGTCAGAACATTATAGCAGCAGCTACACACTAGAACGAAATCATTAGTGTGTATAATTGTTCTCTAAGATAACATGTAAATTTAATATCAAAATCTCAAGGTCATATGTAGAAACACTTCTTATTCTTACATATTCCACCTGAATTGAGTGAAGCTAGAGTTTGTGACTTGGTAGATTATAATGGTGACTGGAACTGGGATTTGATTGAATGGATTCCGCAAGATATTAAGCTGCAAATCACAGTAATTCATCCGCATGTTTCTGGTAAAAATGTGGATAATTTCGAAGTGGCTATGAATGAGGATGGAACCTTTCCTATTGGCAGTATGTATAAATATTTTATGGAGAAGAATGATCCGATTTTGAGAACAGGTTGGAGTTGTATCTGGGATTTGAAAGTGCCAGAGAGAGTGAGGTGTTTTATCTGGATTTTAAAACATGATAGATTACTGACTGGGCAGAGGATGAGTGTGTATGGGTTTGGGAGTGCAAGTTGAAGGTTGTGTGGTCATAGTCATGAAAATACCCTGCATGCGCTGAGGGACTGCAAATATGTGAAAGGTGCATGGGAGACCATAATTCCTCCCAAGATTTTACATGATTTTTACACTGATGATTTGCAGGATTGGATTACTCTAAACATTTATGATTCCTTGCATGAGGAGGAAGATTGGTGCTTGTATTGGGCCATAGGATGTCATTCGATTTGGGAATGGCATAATAGAGCAGTTCATGATGAGAACTACGTGCGGCCGTATAATATTCAAGAGACTATAGCTAAAAGGCTGAAGGATTATAATGAAGCTGTGAGGGTAAATTCCAGGATTATCGATCGTAGCAAGGTGGAAAATATGATTAAATGGGATTGTCCAATGAGGGAATTCATTAAAGTTAATGTTGATAGAGCTCACAATGTGAATGGTGTGTCTGGGTGTGGGGGGATTATTAGAGATGAATAAGGTAATTGGTGTGGTGGTTTTGCTAAGTGTGTGGGCATAAGTAGTCCGTTAATGGCGGAGTTATGGGGGATTTATGAATGTTAGAATATGGTGGTTGAGCAAGGGTTCTTGAAGGCTATAGTATAGTCAGATTCGAGAGAGGTAGTGAATATCATCAACAACCATAGTAACAAGAAGATCAACAAGTATAATTTGGTTTGCCAAATTAAAAAATTAATGAAGATAATGGATAGTGTATAAGTTATGCATAACATGGGAAAGAACTAAAATGTGGTTGCAAAGCTTTTCAAGAAATGCCTAGTTGGCTTGTTAGGAATGTTGAGAATGATAGAAATGGTGTTTTCTATCCTAGAGTAGTTATTGTTTAGTTCTTTTTTTGTTTTCAGAGCTTAGGCCCTCCATGCTATAAAAAAAAAGAAAAAAATGGTCTAACTTAATTTTCGAACTCCTACGGTTCCTAGGAGTTAAAGTATTTAAAGCTTTTCATGGAGGCAAAGACCATGGCTAGACCCGCTTGCTTCCACTAAGACCTTCATTTATATGAGTAGAGAGTTAGAGTGAAAATGCAGTTGGAGTTTAGGGTTCTTGAAAAGAAGATATGTTCCTCAATGGTGGATAGTCTATTGATTATGGGACATGGGATCTATAGGTTGAAAGATGGTCCATACAAATCAAAATATTTATAGCAAAAATTGTTCTATAATCACGCAAGGCAAACGATACATATGGTTAGGGAGATAAAAAAAACACTATTTAGCAAAGAGGATCAGCAAAGACTAAAAAGATCTTTGATGATTCATAAATCGAGACAAAGTTTATAACGACAAGTATTTTGTTTTACAACACAACGATGACATTATTCACGTGCAAAGATTACTAGTTACGCTGCATCATTTCATGTTTCAAGTTTAATCGATAACTCAATACAAAGTAGATTATTGGACTTTGTCTGAACTTTCCCTGCTTAAAACACCACTAATAAATTGAGCAAAAATTGTGAAATCACTGATTGGGTAAGTTATACACACAAGGAAAGAGAAATACTTTGTTTCAAAATGACAATCGTTTAAGGTTTTTACATACAAATTAAAGAATATAATAATGTTGTTATAAGAAATTATACTTTTATTAAATTGATTTTATCAAAATATTGAAAGTAGTGTATAATATAATAATTAAAGAACACAATTGAAAAAATAGTAATCATTACTACATTAACAAGAGAAAATAACAGTCAATTTGAAACCAATTTTATTTATTAAAACGATAATCATTTTAAAACAGATCAAATAAAACACGTAATTAAAGTGTCACATATCTGAAAATAGTGGACACAATAAGACAATATGAACATAAATAGCCTAACGTGCCATCTTTTTTGATAGGTCATGATGTAGAACATTTTTCTCTATAAATATTACACTATTTAAATTATTTAAGCGCTCGAGACCAATCAAACAAATTATTGTATGCAGTTTATTTTTTATTTTTCACTTTCTTTACTTTTTTTTATTTTTATGTATTTATAAGCTAGTTTTTTAATTTCTCATTTACATACTTAAAATGTTCTTTGTAGTTGTACAAAAAAACTCACAATTTAGGGACAAAACTTCTTTTGCTTAAAAAAGATGAGAACTACTTTTAAAAATTATTAATCGAATTTTCAGTTAAACTTTAATAATTGCACAATATTATTGTATGATAAGCATAATTTGACCACAATAATCTTTGCAGAAATTTATGGTGACCAAACTAGACAAAAAAAACATCCAATTTTTAAAAATCTCATATTATTTATCAAATTGATTGTTATCTTTCATTTATCGCCACCTTTCAAATCGGTGGACATAATACTTATCATTGTTGTTTATCTTTCAAATTTGTGGACATTATACTTTTGTATTACGATTTTCCCAGTTGATATTATTTATCTTTTCAAAAAAATTGAATAGACAATTTTTAAAATAAAATATTAGATATTTATAATTAGAGAATAATATTCATGCACGGATAGTGTAATGATATTTTACATGATCAATTAATCATAAATTATAACAGTTAAATTTTTATAAATTATCGATTTTTATTTTAATTGAATATAAATATTATTTATGAATGATTGTGATTTACCGGTCGTGTAAAATATTTTACCTTATATAATAACTAATCTCTTATAATTAATATAAATTTTAAAAATACTCTTGACCCAAAATGTTAATGTCTTAAACTCTAGTTTGTACTGCTTTATTATTGTTGAGTAATCTTAAACTCATGTTTTTTTAAAGGTGATATTAAATTGTGTTTAAAAACAAAAGTTAAAGATAGAATGCACAAATTTTAAATTTAAAAGAAAAAGTGAAATGTACTTTTTTTTTGGAATATTGTGGAATGTACAATTTTAAACACTAACTTGTGTCATTAAGAACATGTTAGCTTATTTTCAAATTTTGAGAGATGTTAATCCATTTAGAAATGAACCAGCCTTTAAAATTGGCTTCAAACTAGATCTAGCTTCTAAAATATTACTCTTTTTTCTTCTTTTTTTGGACAGTTTCTACAAACATACTAGTAAGTCCAAAACAAGTCTATCCATAAAATACCAGTTCTTAAACCTGTTTAAACAAAGTTTGAGAGATTGTGTGGACCAAGTAGAAACAATACTAGATAGATAGGTTAAACAAAACAAAAGGATCTGATCTGACACATGGAACTAATTCTTTTCATTATCCACAAAAATATTCACTTAAAAGTCAACCAATTATTTTGAGTTTCCAAATTCTTCTATCTGCCCATCCTTCATTTTCTCTTTGTACTCTGTCAATTCTCTTTTGTACCTTTCTTTATCCCTTAAGCCAATGTTTTGGTAAATCTGCATCATTACACAAATTCATAATCACATTTTACCATATTCTAATCAAAATCAAAATTATTAACTAGTTTCCATGTGAAATGACCCTTTTAATTACCATTCTTTCTTCAGGGCTGAGACAATTCCATGACTGGCCAATCATTTTAGTAAACTCCCTTTCTCTATTTGGGTAAAGTTGTTTGAGTTTGTAATGCTCTTCAGCAAAGAAGAAGTTATAGCCACTCCTATTTGGCTTTGGATAGTTAGGATCACACTTTCTTTTTCTTCTCCTCCTCCTACCAGAACCATAAGATTTGTGATTGAATGGTACAATGGCAGTGGCACTGCCATGTTGTGAAGGAGAAGCAGCAACCACTTGTTCTGGATGATAAAGCACACCTCTCAAAACCTCAGAACCCAATTTCACTGATACTATATATCCACAATCAAATTTCCCTTCTATTGTTCCTTTTCCAACACATGAACTTTCTACCTCCACTGCACACATAACACACAACAAACAATAAATTTTTCACCATTGAAAAGTTCCCTAACAATTATTTTTTACAAGTTAAATGAAATTACAATTCATAAATCATCTACTTGGACCCACAAGCATGTTTAAACAATTTCAGGTCACATTAGCTTTAAAAAACGGTAATGTGTCAATACCGGTATCATTTTTCACCGTTTTTATGTTAAATAACAATACCGCAACAACCGCATCAACACTTGTTCCAACTGAAATGGCAAAAACCTTTACGCGACTGTAAAGAGTTTTTAAAACCTATTATCAATTTCAAATCACAATTACTTAACAATTTAACATCATAAACAACTTTTTCTCACTAATCCAACTTTAAACTCTCAGCATCATTACAACAAACACATTCCTGACTCATTGAATATTGATAATTAACCATTGATTTACCTTCGTCGTGAGATTCAGAACTATTGTTTACCATCTTATGTGAATATTGAACAATAGCTAATTCAGGTTTCCACGACGGACTATTTCCAGAAAATGTATCTACAATATACAAACACAGTTGAATTTTGAGATTCTAAATATTCATAAATCAATAAAAGAAACTGCGTAGTACTACGCACCGATACCTCTCTTGAAAAAGTGTGTATGTATATGTGTCAGTGTGGAAATCTCGTATTCATCTTTTCAAATTATTACTGGTGTGAACGTGTCAGTGTCGTGTTTCGTGAATGTGAAATAGTATAGTACCTGGTGATGGAATGTAAATAGGACCTTTAAGTTTGAAGAAATGAACTTGTTCGTAATGGTAAAGGAGATTCAAATAATGTTTTCTCAACACAAAAGAAGCGCTCGTAGTAGTAGATGAGAATCTAAAAACAGTACCGACTTCTCTCCATTTTTTCTCGGCAACAACTTTCTCATAACCGCTTCTGGCTGTAACCTCCACGTAGAGAACGTGCAAATCCAGTTCCTTACCTCCAATCACAGGAATCCTAAGCAAATGAATGAAAATTTGAAAATGAAATCACTTATACAAAACTTTGGTTTCGATTATGTGAAGAGAAAATGAAGAAAAATAAAGTTGTACATGAATTTTGTAGCCATGAGAAAGTGAAAGCGACGAAGAGTGTCCCAGAAAAGAGTAGCGTCGTTAACGACGTCGTTGTGAGAGGCGAGTGGGGGAGGATAGTGTTTGCCGGAGATTTCTGTTATCATTTCCGATGACAGTTACGTCGCCGGAAGTTACTAGTATTTTTGAAATGGAAGAATGAAGGAGAATAGAATAAAAATGGAAAATAGATGAGAGAAGAGTAAATAGAACAGTAGTAGTAAAAAGTAGAAAGAAAAAAAGTGAAAATGAAATAAGCTGTAAGTAAGTTAATGAGCAATTAAGTAAAAGCTGAGAGAATTAAAGAAGCTGGTTTGCCTCGTGGGAGGGGACGGTTACGCAGCACAGATAAGTTGCTTTTTTTCTTTCTTTCTGATTTTGTGGATGGATTGCTTAAGTAAGGTACACAAAATTTAATTTGAAGATGTTTTTTTACTCCCTCGGTTTTTTTTTTTGAATAAATAAATTTTATTTTAAAATAATAATTATTTTTATTTTTTAATGTAATAATTATTATTATTTTTTTTAATTTTATAAAAGTGTAATGTTTTATAATAATATAATTATATTTCTTAATTTGTATAAAAAACTTTAAATTACCGTTATTTTAAAATATAGAGAATATAAATTTATAATTTTATTTGATTATATTATACTAGACGCTTTTATTAGATCGATGCAGAGTGACAGTAAAAAAAGAGATTGGTAGAAAGGAAGGAAGCGTTGACATGAAATTTTTTTCTGCTTTATGATTCTGACTTATGATTCAGTCTGCTATGCTCTTCAATGCCGAAAACGTATCTTCCTCTATAGTAGTACTTCAAAGAATCAAACCCATCATATCATCAGTACTATATGCTTTAGAGCATTCTTTTTTATGAATTTTTTATTAGATTAAATAATTTTTCATCATTATATATAATTTAATTTGATTTTAATTTCTATAAAAAAAATTTCGAATAATAATTTTAGTAAAAATTTTCATTTATATTTTTAGTTTTTTCTACTAAAATCGTCGTTAATTCAATCGTTAAATAGACATCATCGTTAATTCTATTGCTAAGTTATAAAAAAATATCACTAAATTTTATAAGAGAACAAAAATGTACTTAAATTTTTTATAAAAAATTATTCTTTGAAACAAATATTTTTAAAATCTAAAAATAAAATATAATATATTTATAAGTATCTCAAACATATTTAATCTTTCTTTATCATATAAAAAATAATACAATTATTTTTTTTAACAACTAAATATTAAATATAAATATTTTTTTCAAGATAATATTAACAAGAATCAAATATTATTTTATTAAATAAGATTGATTAATTTTCGTTATAATATTTTATTCAAAATTATATTTTTATCAAAATTGTTAATTTTGAGGTTTTTTAATATCTTTTTATAAGTATTTTGAGTTTTTCTCTTGTTGAAAAAGTCATGAAAATCTTAAATACCACCTGTTATTAATGAATAAGTTATTATAAGAAATAAAACGGATGCTTTGGAGAAAAGCATGCAGAGTACTACATTGTTTTGTTTTACTTACTATAAATTAAGACAAATGCATAAACAATAAATATTCCAACATTAAGAGTCTTTTCATTGTGTATTTTATCTTTCATAAATAAAGTCTGCAGTTGCTATATCAACTTGTATTGTTATTATTTTACATTTTATACCGCTTTCTACGAATCTGACCATGGGGAAATTTTGCGTAGTTTCCTAACAACTGGTATCAGAGTCGGTTGATTCTTTCCATTTCATAAGCGATCCAGAGGATTCAGGCTTGAGTGGGAGCGATGGCAGCAGACGAAGGAAATGTGAAAATTGAGAAGTTCGACGGTGCAGACTTCAGCTTTTGGAAGATGCAAATAAAAGATTATTTGTATCAAAAGGGAATGCATGAACCTCTCACTGGCACGAAACCAACGACAATGGATGACAGTTTCTGGAGCCTTCTCGATAGAAAAGCTCTTGGAGTCATTCGATTAACGTTATCCCGTAATGTTGCTTTTAACATTGCAAAAGAAAAGACAACGGTTGATCTTATGAAGGCTCTTTCCAGTATGTACGAAAAGCTGTCGACCTCAAACAAAGTTCATTTGATGAGGCGATTGTTCAACTTACGGATGACAGAAGGTGTGTCAACAGCGCAACATCTGAACAAACTCAACATTGTTACAACTCAATTGAGTTCAGTTGGAATCGACTTTGATGAAGAAGTACGGGCTTTGATACTCTTGTCTTCCCTGCCAGAAAGTTGGAATGCTACAGTCACAATCGTTAGTAGCTCATCGGGAAGCAACAAGTTGAAATTTGATGATGTTCGTGATTTGGTTCTCAGTGAGGAGATCCGGCGGAGAGAGTCGGATGAATCGTCAACCTCTTCAGTATTGCATATAGAGTCAAGAGGAAGAAGTTCAACCAGAGGAAGCGGACGAGGCAAATCAAAAATGAGACGATCAAAGTCCAAAAATTATCATACTTCTAACAGCTCGAAGACTATCGAGTGTTGGAATTGCGGGAAGACCGAACACTACAGAAATCAGTGCAGGAGTGCATTGAAGAATCAGGAGGCGAAAGATGAGGCAAACATTGCTTCAACCTCAGGAGGAGGTGATGCATTAATATTTTCTTTGGAGAGCAAGGAAGAGTCTTGGGTGTTAGACTCTAGAGCATCCTTTCGCGCAACTTCACAGAAACATTTCTTCGAAAATTATGTCCCTGGGAACCTCGGTAAAGTATACCTTGGTAATGAACAATCTTGTGAGATTGTAGGAAAAGGTTTTGTGAAGATTAAGTTGAACGGGTCTGTTTGGGAGCTGAAGAATGTCAGACACATTCTTGACCTGACGAAGAACTTAATCTCAATAGGCCAGTTGGCCAGTGATGGCTACACAACAATCTTCGATGGAGATCATTGGAAGATTTCTAAAGGTGCAATGATAGTTGCTTGCGGTAAAAAGAGTGGTACTCTTTACAAGACAGCTGGAGCATTTCATTTGATTGCAGTTGCAGTAAATGAAAGTCCCAATCTATGGCACCAAAGACTAGGCCATATGTGTGAGAAATGAATGAAGGTCATGCACTTAAATGGAAAACTACCAGATCTTTAGTCAATAGAAATTGACATGTGTGAAGACTGTATACTTGGAAAGCAGAAGAGAGTTAGCTTTTAGACAAGTAGGAGAACCTCAAAGAAGGAGAAACTTGATCTTGTCCACTCTGATGTTTGGGGTCCAACTACCCTCTCATCTATTGGTGGAAAGAAATACTTTGTGACTTTTATTGATGATCATTCTAGAAAGGTATGGGTATACTTTCTGAAATATAAGTCTGACGTATTCGAGGCTTTCAAGGTGTGGAAAGCCATGGTAGAAAATGAGACCGAATTGAAGATCAAAAAGCTCCGAATCGACAATGGTGGTGAGTAAGAAGATACCATATTCAAAAAGTTCTACTATGAGCACGAGATCAGAATGGAGAGGACCGTGCCAGGTACGCCTCAACACAATGGTGTAGCTGAGTGTATGAACCGGACGTTGACAGAAAGAGCTAGAAGCTTGCGTGTTCAATCAGGCCTACCAAAGCAATTATGGGCAGAAGTAATTGATACAACAGCTTACTTAATCAACCAAGGTCCATCAGTACCATTAGAGCAGAGAATACCAGAAGAAGTACGGAGCAGAAAAGAGGTAAAACTCTCACATCTTAGAGTTTTTGGTTGTGTAGCATATGTGCACATTAGTGATCATGGCAGGAATAAGCTTGATCCCAAATCAAAGAAGTGCACTTTCCTCGGTTATGGTGAGGATGAGTTTGGATATCGCCTATGGGATGATGAAAACAAAAGGATGATCCACAGTAAAGATGTGATCTTCAATGAAAGAGTTATACACAAGGAAAAACATAATATAGGTGCCAGCAACTCAGGTTCGAGTGGGCCAATTTATGCAGAAGTGGTCGATGTCCCAGAAAGTGCTATAGTTGATAACCCTCAGCTAGAGGAAACAACTGAACAAAGCGGTGAGCAACAGCCTAACATATCAAAACCTCTTACTCTAACTCCTGTATTGAGAAGGTCTTCTAGAACTCGTGTTCCTAACAGGAGATACATGGACTATATCTTATTGACAGATGAAGGGGAACCTGAAGATAATGCAGAAGCATGTCATACCGCAGATGCTAGCAAGTGGGAACTTACTATGAAAGACGAGATGAAGTCTTTGATCTCCAATCAGACATGGAAACTTGTTGAGTTACCTATGGAAAAGGGAACTTCACAACAAATGGGTGTATCAGGTCAAGGAGGACCATGATGGATCTAAGAGATACAAGGCCCGATTAGTTGTCAAAGGATTTCAGCTAAAAGAAGGAGTTGACTACACTAAAATCTTTGCTCCAGTTGTGAAGCTCAATACTACCAGGTCTGTGTTAAGTATTGTTGCCAGTTAAGAGCTCTACCTAGAGAAATTGGATGTGAATACCACCTTTCTTCACGGAGACTTAGATGAGGAGATCTACATGCATCAACCAGAAGGTTTCTTAGAAGAAGGGAAACAGAAAATGGTGTGCAGATTAAAGAAGAGCTTGTATGGTCTAAAACAAGCTCCAAGATAGTGGTATAGGAAGTTTGAAAGCTTCATGCACAAGAAAGGTTTCCAGAAGTGCAATGCCGACCACTGTTGTTTCTTCAAGAGGTATCATTCCAGTTATATCATCTTGCTACTTATGTCGACGATATGTTAGTAGCAGGTCCAGATATGGATGAAATTAGAAACTTGAAGATACATTTGTCAAAAGAATTTGACATGAAGGACTTGGGTCCAGCAAAGAAGATTCTTGGAATGCAAATCACGAGAGATAAGCAAAGAGGAATTTTGCAGTTATCTCAGGAAGAGTACATCAACCGTGTTTTGAAAAGATTCAACATGGAAAATGCCAAACCAATTAGCACACCTTTAGCTAGTCATTTTCTCTTATCAAAGGACCAGACCCCGAAGACGGAGGAAGAAAAAGAATTGATGGATATTATTCTGTATGCTTCAGCCATTGGAAGTTTGATGTACGCAATGGTATGCACGGGACCAGACATTGGCCATG